AAGTACCAGGTGACTTGTTCTTACCTTCAGAAATTATGCTTTTCAAAGTAGTAGCTTTAGCTACTCTCTTTTGTAGACTGCTTGGAGGAATTGTTACATCTTGTCGTTCTTTTTTTTCATGGAAGTGCTCATGTTTGGAGACAGGTATGCATGCGGTATGCAAACGCTATATTCGTTAATGTGCACGGTAGAAAAAAACCGCTTGCGTACTGTATTCGTACTGTTTGATCGTGACTCGTCGCGAACCAAATTGTTGCGGTTTGCTCCACGACTTCAAAAGAAGCTCGTCTTTCAGTTTGGACGGCGCTACTAGACGCAGCGAACATTTTTATTGTCTCATCAAATCGACATTGCGTGAATGACGTGTTCCTTCCTAGAGAGACATGACGAAACAGACTAGTGTCTAGAGCCTGACCCACTATTCTGTGCAGACTTGCGCAGTTCATTTGTATCCACATCTTAATGTGACAATGAGGTTTATGTGTATTGTTGGTTGTATAAGAATAACTCTAAAATTAATAGTAAATAATAGCAAATCAAAATTAAAGGTTTTTTTTTAAATAGTTTTAAAAAGTATTTAAAAAAATACTTTTTGCGCATTTTTTCCAATAAAAATTTGTTATTTTATATACAGGATGTTGACTGATGTTATATATCAATTACTATGATACCAACTTTCTTATTTTAAATGAAACATTGCTTAGGTATATTATAAAATTTTTGGATTATGCACAAAATTCATGTTAGTTCATTCAAGAACTTTGATATATTGTATGTTATAGTTTTAATTAACTTATTTTAGGATACAGGGTGGTTAATGAATAGATCACTCTCTGCGTGTCTCCTTATGACTTTAAAAGGTTCTATACTTAATTTCAATAAAGAAGAGTGAGTTCATTTTCGTATCTCAACTTGTTTTTAATAATGTATATAGTACTCATATATACTATATAATATGTACCTATATTCTTTTAAAATAGATATTGTGTCAAATAAATGAAACCTGCCTATATTTTTACCAGGTGTGAAATGGAATGTACATAAGTAGGTATCTTAAAGGGTATATATTTAAAAGTTAATATAGAAGGGATTGTGCCTTTAATACATTGTATATTAAAAACAATTAAATAAAAGCATGGCAATCCAATATATTGATAAAGTTCTTTGTATTTTGTATTGGATCCAATAACTAAATAATATACCTGGTGTTCCATCTAAAATAATAAAGTTGGCATCGGTATTTACATGACATCACACTCTGTATAACACATTTTTATTGGAAACATATGCGCAACAAAAAATATTAAAAAACCAGAGCTTTTCGAGGAACTATTCATCATTTAATAAATATATGTAAACCTCATTGACACATTCAGAAAAGAATACAAATGCGCAAGTCTGCACAGAATAGTGGGTCGTGCTCTAGACGCTAGTGAAAACAGTAAACTGATTATTATACATATTTTTATTTTTGTTAAATAAGCAAATGCTGTCTTGATTTACATTTTCGAAACAGAAACACGATAAATCAGTACCCAAATTATAAATAAAATGAATCATTTCGCACATGTGTGTTTGTTGTTGATTTTATCGCTTTCCATCTGGATCAGGATCTGTACGCGTACGGTGCGTATACCGTTTGGCTCGCATATCTGTACGCGCCTTTAGATCACTATCATACACGTAACACAAAGGTTTGGGTTGCTTCTGTAGTAGGAAATCATTTGTGATCTTGGTCTGTCCTAATCGTAGTCTGGAGATGAAGGTTTTAAGATTGTGACATAAATTTCCCTTGAAATGTGTTTCTTGCAAACATATGATGGATGGATGAAATTTATTTATAAGAATTTTAAGATCTTCTAAATGGGTATGGTACCCATTTAGGTTCCATTGAATAATATAATTGAAAATAGTTTAATTAATAAGTCTCCGGAGAGGAATCGTTAGGATTATCGGTAGAAATATTACTTAAAATTTTTTCTGTAATTTTGTTTATAATTCTAGAACAACGGGATTTAAGATATGTTGGACTTAACATAGGATATATTTTCTTTAGAAAATCTATCAATCATTCGATATCCTCCGAGTAAGTTCTGGCGGCACTGAGAGGATCTGAAGAACCATGCGCATTTTCCAAGAAGTCAATAAGTTCTTCCTGTGTTAAGTAGCCATTGTTGGAGTTTTCTTTGAAGAATTGATTGGTGCATTTGGTAAGATCTTCTACTAGTTTTTTGTTGTTTTCTTGTCGAGTCTTTGGTTTCTTGCTTCGTGGCTTCGGTTCAGCAAAGGCATTTTCTTTATCTCTTATTGGGGTGGGAGGGGGGGGGGTATTATTTCAGATACGTTTCGTTTAGGGTGCTGGGATGAAGATGTACTCGTATCTTGATCTAAGTTATCCATTTGAGTCTCATTGGGTAGGTTGTAGTTTATCGGAGTATGCTTATTTGATTGAGAGGTAATGATTTTTCTAGGCGTTTCAGCCTCAGTAAGAGATGATTGTGTAGACGAATTTATCGACAAAGGAGCTGATTGTTGTACTGTAGTTTCAGTCTCGGTAGTAGATGACTGCGTAGAAGAAATTGTCGAATGGGGAGCTGATTGGTGTACTTCCTATAAAAAGTTAAGATGAACAGTATTTTGGGTGTTGTTTGAAGGAATCTGATTATTTTTATTAGGATACTGAGATGCAAAATGTCCTTGATGCTTGCATAAATAGCAAGATTACTTTTTGATGAAAAAGAAAATTCGATAGTTTTTATCCTCATGCTTATTTAACATAGAATCGGGTAATTTGTCCAAGTTAGTTGGCGCTATAAAAGTGTATCGTCGGAAACTCAAGATATACTTGAATGCTAGATTTGAAGTCCCTATCCTGAGAAAGTCAATTGGTGTTATTATATGTATACCTAAGTTTTTCAGTTGTTCTTCTATAATACTGTGCGGAATACTTGGACATACGTTGGAAATAATCAGTTGTTCATTTGGAGTTATTAGTCTTTAGGCTTGAATACGTTGTTGATTAATTACTACAATCCCATTGTCGTTTGCTAGAAACTCATTGACTGTCTGTCACTGATAAAGAAGATACAAATACGATCGTTTATAATTTTAGAATTAGATTTATTTTATTTTATAAAATAAATTTTATAAATTTTTTTATAAATTTTATAATTTTTTTTTTCTGTCGGTCAGCGGGCTGTGCGGCTGCCTCTCATTTGCTTCACTGTCGAATGGTTCAGTGGATGTGGGTTCGAGCAGCAGTTTAAAATTCTAGATGAATCTGCGGCTTAGACTAGGTTATGCTGGGATCTGATCGGCCTATGGTGGAGCAGTACGGAAAGAGATAAGGGCTTGCGGCTTGGTGATACTCCTCCATAGATCCCTACCGGACTGGCGTAACGCCTAAAAAAACCGGATTATATATATATATATATTTATATATATATATATATATATATATATATATATATATATATATATATATATATATATATATATATATATATATATATATATATATGTCAGGGTTTTACAGCAAGAAAATAATTATAAAAAAAGATTGTTTTTGGAAATGTGTCATATAAATAGAGAAAACTATACAGTAAATTACAAGGCAGACACGGGACAGTTGAGCAATATCTACTGTAATATTCTTAGTATGTCTAAATAATTTTTCTGTTAACAATTATATTTTAAATCACCCGGTATATTTTTAATGTGTAATTTATTGTGTTTTAATTGTTTCGTTGTTTTTGTTTGCTCTGTTTTTATATTTTTACATTTAATTACTAGTGACCTAGGTACCTACTTTTAACAAAAACTGTCACTACTGTTTTGAACAAATTATGTTCAACTTGTTTAAATACTTTCCACTCTAAATCGTAAGTGAGTCACTTTTTATTCAAACTGATTTTTATATTTATAACTTTTATTCAAAATTTTTAGTTGTCTCCTGATGAAGCTGACAAAAAATCAGCGAAATATAGAGGATTAAAAGAAAAAAGAGTTTTTTTTTTAATAATAACAGACCGCATACCCGATATTCCAACACAATAAATTATATATATATATATATATATATATATATATATATATATATATATATATATATATATATATATATATATATATGTATTTTTCTGGAATCCACTTTACAAGTTACTGCATTAAAGTAAACTTCAATATTAAAGTTTGGACGTGAGTGAAGTAGAATTGCTTGTTTTTTGTTTGGAAATTTATTTTTAGGTTGATTAAGAGCTGTAGAATATAATTTTGATGGTTGGTTTACAAGTAGATTGCCAGGAAGTTCCAGTTGCTGAATACATTTCCGTGCTTGGGCTAAGTAACCTGAATACGGCCCTGGTGCTTATTATGGATCATTGCTGGAAGGACTGGTACACGCTCATACTCACGTCAAATCGGCGAAATAGAGATTTAACCTTGATTTGTTATAGATGAAATAGGAAAATCAAGCTTACAATCAATTAAGCTAAACAATAAATATCAATTATCGCTCAGTCAATCAATCAATGCGTTTTTACCTTGCTTTAAGCTCTATGCTTCTTCAAGGGTGGGTTTGTTACTTGGGTGCTTATGCTTGTTTGGTTTGAAAATGCCAGTTTTCGTTCATATGACTTCGGTTGGACTCCGAAGACTAAGGGCGCCGCCGCTAAAAAAGTTAAAAAGGGTAGGAGAAGGATGGGAAGGGAAGGGTGCCGAGAACAAGAAGAAGGCAAGAGGCGGAAATCGTACCTTCCGGAAGAGTTAGCCAAGTATACCAAGCCTGTCACGAAGTACAAGTTCCGTGGAAAAAACGATTCCTTTCAGATTATTGGCCATTGTTTGTTTGTTGGAAAAACGCGTGGAAATTATCGCTAATTCCTGATATATTTACTGTTCGGAGCTTCAAATGAGAATCTGTTTCTTAAATTGATTTACCTGTTTAATAGTTTTAACGGTTGTTTCTTTTTTAATTATATTAAGTTTACTTGTTGTTACAGGTTACAGAAATCAGAGACAACAAGGTCATAATTATCAACATCCATACAGCAACAATTATAACAACAACCGTGGCAACCAAAGCAGTTACGACAACCGTGGCAACTACAACCAATACGGGAATCAAGACAGGTCGTATAATCGGGATCGACAGGGAAGACCTCCTGGGCCGTACAGGGATAGATACGAATCGGGAAATAGATATTCCAGAAGATAAATTGCAATTTACAAAAAAGATTTACTATATATAAGAACCTTTGGGTTCAAATCTAATATTTACGAACGTTGAGATCCTCTAATTTTCTCATGAATTAAAATTATGAATGGTGTATATGTGTACACGACGATTTTAGTGATTTTCTCTTTGTTTGTACAATATTTGAAATAAGATTTTTTATGCCGGTATTCTTTAACAAGACTGGTTAAAAGTACTACAAGATAAGTCTTTTTACTACTGTTATTTTTATATTTGCTTCAGAAATGCTGATCTTTAAGAGTAGCATTTGTCCATTTGAAAGCTAAAAACAAATAGCTTCGTATATGAGGTACAAAATATATTTTGTATACGAATCTCCAATACAATACTGCATCAATTCAAATTTGGTTTGTTCTAATCGGCTCTTTTGATTAATTTGTCATTATTAGAGTGTATAATAGATTTAAGCTCTTTGGGAAATCCTCTGAAGCGAATATTTTGTTTGTATGTGTGTAAATAATAAAATTGAAATAAGTATTAAACTAAGAAACTTTGAATTATTTTATCACGGATAATATAACTTTTATCTTTTTATCACATCGCTTCTAATATCAAGTCTGATGTTCTTTGCCTCATAGTGAGTAAGATTCGTGGTGAGACCCCTTTCAAATACGTTTTCCCTAATTTCCTCATCATATAGCTTATGTTATCTTAATCGGAAGCAATCATTGAAGTAGTCGTTTGCGATTAAGGGAATGTACAAGCAGTCTTCTTCAATTTAAATACCTATATATCTGCAGTTTTCTGTCAAGTTTTTTTTAAAACATTGTAAGGCACAAGTGGTCATCTATAATCTCTTTATAAACTTGAAACGGACTTGTAAAGTTATTTTGTAAATATTATATTTTAAATACTAAATATCATACGAAATAATTTCACGCAAACTGAGACATATATACAGGTGGGTACGGCAAGAGTTGGATGACTCAAAAACAAATTGACTTCTTGTTGAGTTCTTACAGTATTGAATTGGTGCATCGAATGAATCACGCATTAGAATAAATATGTAATGATAAAAGGTAGGAACTTCTTTCAACAAAAGGTAGGAGTTGATAGAAGCAGTATTTTAATGTGTTTGACAAATTGTTACAAGGTGTTTGGAATTAAAGTGTATAAAACAAAACTTTTTGTATTGTACCTCAAAAAAGTATCTTTTGTCATAAAAATCTAAATAAAAATTATAGTCTCAAATATTTGTTTTATTGGAAATTCGAAGACTCCTAAGGAAAAATCGACGTGGAAACTGATATCAACGCACTAAAAAGTTTGACCTATCGTAGTTTAAATAATCATTTCGATCAAAAGATAAATCAATAAATTAAGATTTTAGTGCCATCATTTTAATGATTTTCATATCATTTCATATCATAGGCATGAAGAGCGCCCACGAAGGTTGCAATCAAGTTTAATTTTAATCTAAAGCATTTAGGCGTCCCCTGGAAACGATTTAATCAGAAATTATTTAATTGGATAATCTCTTCACCATCGAATTACCAGAGAAAACCAGAAAATAAGAGGGCTTGTTAACGTTTTCAGTAAACATTGAAGGAATATCTGTATATACAGATTATTATCCGACATATTTGATAAACAAGAACATAATTGTTCCTTCAAGAAGCTCTCAGTGGTACTACAAATGCAGACCTAAGATAAAGAATATGAGAACTGTTCTGAAAGATCTCATGTTCAGCATGGAACTACAATATTTGTTAGGCCGGACATAGACGTCATATCTACTGCTTTTACTCGAGAAAGTAATATTGAAATTCCCGCTGTTGAGATTTGAGAATGATATATTTGTGTCTAATTGTCATAGCATTACGTGGGATCATAAAGGACCGCTTTATCCCGTGTCGAAATTCACACGAAAGAATAAAACAGTGTAGATGAAAACATGGAAGAAATAATGAAACTCCTCTCAAAAGAAGATGACGATGATATCTCTGATTAATCACCCTAGTTCCTTATCCGATCTAGAATAATTTCTAACCCACCGAGCTGAAGATTCTCAACAAATTTCGAATCTGTCAACTATAGGCGACTTGAACAAAATCATCCAAAAAAATCAAACTGCAACGTTAACTCTCGAAGAAATGAAGATAATAGACGAAATCCTACATGAAGACAGCAAACAGCAAAAATCTAAAGCCCAGCCACCAAGCTCCCAGTACTTACAAGAAGATACCGATACCAAACATTCCACGGCAGAAAATCCAATAATGGGAATTCCAATTAGCGAGAAACCACTAAATTGTTACAATAATCAAATAATTTTTAAGATAGTAAATTACAACCTGGCGAAACCAATCACAGAGCAGTATTTTGTAACAAAGAAGAGAATGTATGTCCAATTGGGAAAAAACGATCTTCATAACGACATTTTCCAGTTTCCAGAACTATATATATATATATATATATATATATATATATATATATATATATATATATATATATATATATATATATATATATATATATATATATATATATATATATATATATATATATATATATATATATATATATATATATATATATATATATATATATATATATATATATATATATATATATATATATATATATATATATAGACCCTAAAAGAAATACGCCATTCTGTTCGAGAATAATGAACTCTACAAATCCCTATGCAATATCCCAAACAGCACAAGTACGTCCCATGGACGTCCAAAGGATGTACCTCATTAAATGTCCGGACATCCCACGGGCATCCGTTTACATAATTTGGACGTCCCAGGGACGTCCAATAAGAACTAAATGTTACCAAAAAGTACGTCCCCTGGACGTCCCAGGGATGTTCATGGGGACGTACATAGAACATATACAGAACTTAATACGGACTTATATAGGACCTAAGAAGGATGTATTGGGGACATCTATTGTACGTCCACATGGACTAATATAGGACCTAAATGAGGATGTATACAGGACCTAAAGGGAACTTAAAATTAATAAAATGAAAAGCAAAAATAAATGGGATTTTTATTGTGTACTTATATTAACATATGTATTTAAATTTATAGTATTTTTTAAGCACATTACTTCTACTTACTTTACAAATGTAGCAACACACCACAACCACAAAAATTACCTATAAAAGTCCTATATACCTACTTAATGTCTATAATAATAAATTACCAAACTATAAACTAGTATAGAAAGCAATAAACTAATTCTAATTACAACCACAACCACAATGATTATAATTCGAGAAATAAACGAGATAAATAGAAGCGTCGTTAAAACATAACCACATTCTTCTTTTATCTCCTAATTTTTAAATTTCAGTTCCACTACAGAACAAAATTTTAGAGATACAGCTCTGCTATAGGATAAAGATTTTTCTCTAAAAGGAGCCTCTGTCTGTTTTCGTATAAATTAATGGTATTTAAAACTAAATATAACTTTTTAAAATAAAGTTTAGTAGGAAGATCTCCTAATTTTTAAATTTCAGTTCCACTACAGAACAAAATTTTAGAGATACAGCTCTGCTATAGGATAAAGATTTTTCTCTAAAAGGAGCCTCTGTCTGTTTTCGTATAAATTAATGGTATTTAAAACTAAATATAACTTTTTAAAATAAAGTTTAGTAGGAAGATTATATTTTGTTAAAAATATGCTCAAGTAAAAAAATAACACAGTTAACACCTAGAAAACGTCCCTAATACATCCCTAATGGGACGTCCCTTGGACGCCCTAATGGGACGTCTCTGGTAAGTCCGACTAGAAATATCCCTTGGACGTCCCTCGGACGTCCAAAAGAAGTCCCGGGACGTTTGGACCTTAAAACGACATAAAATGGACGTCCCAGGGATGTCCTGTGCTGTCTGGGATTCTACGAGACACTTTTAAAAATTCCGCATCTGATCTTGTCAAATGCAACATCCTCCTTGAAGATATAAACAGCACAGAGAGGCAAAAAGAAATTATACAGAACTACCATCAAGGGAGGACTAACCTCAGAGGCACAAAATAATAAATAATCAGAATGTCCACTTTAAATGGAAAATTAAGTACGCGCATCTCCTTCGCGCAGACGTTCCGCCATGTTTTAGAGGGAACCAGTGTTGTTTATGTGGTGTACATAGAAAAATTAACCCGGTTTAATTGACTTACGGCAATCATAGATATACTATACAATTATATTAACATTGTTAAATATAATAACATAAATATAATATAATTAAACATAAATATAAACAATTGGCAACTTCAAAAATAATAATTTACATGGGAGTTTTCAAGCCTCGAAAATGCGTATTTTCGCATTAAAAAACATTTTTCCCGAGCAAAAAAGATGATTTTTGAATTTGTTAAACAACTTATGTCCAAAAATTTAGCTCGGCATGCTTCAGATTTATTTGGAGGTGATATTTTTGAACACGAATCCACAAAAAAAATCCACAGAAACCGAATCAGAAACATTTTTCCTACAGGAGCAATCTCACATTGCTGAACTCAATTCAGCAATGAACTAGGTATATTAAAAAAAAATTAAATAAACTAAAGACAAGTTCGGTATTTTCAACTTAAATTTTACTGTAAATACAGAGAAATACAGCAACAAATCTTCTTTCAACAGCATAAATCCTTCTTCTGGGTTTGTGTTGCTAAAATATATCTAATAATTACGTTTATCCTGCACTGACTATACAATAAATCGTGCGTTCGATCATATTAAAACAAGCGTTTATCTTTTAAAAAATCTTACCACATAAATAAAACTTGGAATAAAAAATCTTTTGTTGCGATTTTTAAATGATATGTATTGCAAAATTGGAAATTGAGTCACCATATTTCCGTTACTAACCACTCGAAATAAATAATGATCATCAAAAAATGAAAGTAGGTATCGACATAAAGGAGCATGTAAGTAGAAGTAAAAAGGCCACAAACAATGGCGAATCAGATTCCGTGTCAGTGCACTCTAGATGAGAGAGCAAAGGGCTCCCTGACGGTGTTTCGAGTACTCTTGTCGCAACTTCAGAGAATTTTTAGCTGGTCGCATATTGTGAAGTTATGGTAATGCCCTTTGTATATGGGTTGATGCTGTGACTGCACTATACATGTGGATTGCATTCTTAAGTACTTTTTACTTTGACTTTTGGCCCTTCTTGTATGTACTTCTTCGCTCTTGCCGTTACTTACGAGGTTGTATTAATTTGTTCAACGATGCTATAAGTCATCCTAATAGTTAATGTTTGTAATATAGATTAATTAATAATATCTATATACACTGTAAAAAAAATTATATCTACCAGTAAATATTATAAACGTTTCATCTAAAGATATTACAATTTCACTAGAGCTACATAGAAAATTATTAATATCTACCTATAACTAGTATTTATACTATTATACGACTTTGAATATAATACATTAAAGTTTGTATAGTAGATATATACAAATAATACCTAACAAAGATATTCAATGTTATAAGATTATACAATCTAATAATTATGATAATTTATTATTATAAATATTAAGTGTACTGCGCTTACATCGTATTCAAGAGGTAGGAGAGGAAATGGGCATTGAAATGGGGATTTCAATGCCCATTTTCAATGGGCAAAATAAACTCAAACAAAACCAAAGTTTTAGTAAAAACAAAAAGAGAAATCATACGATTTCTACCTGGCGAAATCGAATTCAAATATAAGCCGCCGTGCTCCCTAAAACTTGCGAAGCAAACAGCTTGATGAATGAATCGGCAAGGGAGTCTAAAAATTGCACTCCAAATGCCGTTCATCATGGCCTATATTCGTAGTGAATTCGATTTCTGGTACTCCAAATGAAGTAAATAAACAAAACAAATGACGGTATTAGATTTTGATTTGATACAGAGCAGCAACAAGCCGCATATACGTATTTCGATCTCTTTAGTTCTCCTCAGTATGGTATAGTTACTACTCCATGTAGTAATCATTTTGCAAAGTTTTAGTGTTTAGTCGTGACCCACATCCCGATGCAAAGCTTCAATTAAACGGAGGCCAAATTGAGAAAGTTCACAAAATGACATATTTGGGAACTGTGATAACGGATCAACTAGATCCAGACATAGAAATAAAACATAGCAATGACTAAAACTACTTT